TTTATATGTTGTTCAACTACTCCATTAATGGCTGTAAAAGACTACAATATTTTTATATGTTGTTCAACTACTCCATTAATGGCTGTAAAAGACTATAATATTTTATAATGCATAAACTCTCTGCTTATTCACCATTATTCTTTATAGATAAGTTTCTTAAATTACTATTTTACCTTGTTTGTCAGTCTAACTATTATGTGTATATTCACATTTCAAGTCTTCTTCCTGTGTTTGTGATAAAATGACGTTTATTGTATGTCTGTGGTAGTTTGTGTAACCACTTTAATTCAGATCTTATAACAGTGGTCTTGGCAAAAGTGAATGATTTCAAGTTAAAATGAATTTTTTGGAATACAAGTATGTTTGTCTTTTTATTTTCTAGAGATATAAGGATCATGAGTAATGTATGTGTCTTTATTTTTCAGATGTTAACAGGGATAGAAACATTAGCTTTGAAAAGGCCGCCTTCTGAAGACAGCGTACCAGATCAGTCACTGATAGGTATTGGTCAGCTGCCATTGTTGCCAGAACTCATTCATCATCTGGCAGAGGAACGAATGCTTCTAGAGTGCGATCGCAGCAATCGACTGTGTAAAGAAGAGACGGACACATCTGAGAAGGACATGTCCGATTGCTTGTCAAATGTGATACTAAAAGTTCCGTCCTTTCGACCTGGCACTCAGTTAAATGACAGCAACAGTGACACAGCTAATGCTTTGTCACTTAGTCAAACAGGTCACTACCCAGGAAATAAGGGTATATCTGTGTCTTTAAAGGAGCTGATTGCCAAAAGTATTAGCCAGAGAGTTGGAAAAACTAGTTTCTGCCCAAAGAAAAAAAATAATTATACACATAGCCAACCAGCAGTAAATGAAGGTAAAACATACAATAACCTGAAAACCAGATTGTCATCAAGTCCTGCCACTCATTCTTCCTGTCCAAGTTCTCGTCAGACCAGTGAAACTTCCAAAAGGGAAAGGAAACAAATTCGTCCAAAACGTGGACGTTACAGAAATTATGATCGAAACAGCCTTGCAATGGCTGTACGAGCAGTACAGCGAGGTGAGATGAGTGTTCATCGTGCTGGTAATTACTACGGTGTACCCCATTCTACTCTTGAATACAAAGTAAAGGAGCGGCATTTGTTACGAAACAAGAAGAATTTGAAATACCATCAAAAGTCTTCTGAGAGCTCAGCATCTGATAAGAGTAACGAAAGTAATCATAGCTTAAAAAAACTTCTACAAGGAACAAACATAAGTGAAGGTGAGTCAACCCTATGTTCGGACAAGCCAGAGAGCTCAACTTCACACCCAACTTCTTTGCCGTCCCACACGTCACTTTGGAAAACCATGCCTTTTTTATCTGAGGATTTGGCAGGACTGAGTTCTAGTTCAAGCAACTTTTTTGCCTCTCAGATGATTCGTAAACTGCAGGCTAATGCTCAGCGGCAAGAAGGTTGTAGTGGAAATCAACGTCAAGAAGTGGGCATTTTGGAGAACCTGATTAAAAAGACTCTTGAAAAGTCTGTTTCTATGGAAGAGAAAGGCTCCTCATCCTTAATTATCTCCTGTAGCAATGGAGAAAGTGATGTTAATTTAAATCACAAATAATAGACATTTTTGTTGTTGTGTCATCTCAGTCAAACTGTCCCTCTGGAAGAAGTGCTGAAGCACTCTAATTAGTAGCAAAACCCTTCATCAGAGTTTATCTTCTGTTGTTCAGATGTGCACGTGGTGCCTTTAGTTGTTGTGTTGTTATTTACCACTTTGAGATCAACCTAGTCCCAGCTGTGATGGAAGTCAAAAATTATTTACTATAATGTAATGTATAATCGAGTGGGTTTTTTTCTTATTCGTGTTTCTTTTTCAGGTAGTTTTTTTTAATTTTCATTTATATATTTTTTTGAATGATGGATGTTTTTTTATTAAGAAAGTAAGGCTGTGATATGGTTTTCAGTTTTCAGAATACTTCCACACTCTACAGAAAAATCATTCCATAAATTTTAATTCCTATGTTGGCATTCCAAAATTTGATTGGCATTCCAATCGTCAAAACATAAACTGAAATAATTAGTGCATTTTTGAGATAATTTTTAGAATAGCTGTGGTTTTTCTACAATGCAGTTAAAATATTGGCAAATTTTATATAGATTAATGTTTAGGTTTTCCTTGACAAGTTCCATCACCATTAAACATTTCCTGTTTTTTTCATTAAACTTAAAAAAGATAAAACATTTACAGTTGTGGTATTATCTGTTTGATTTATAAAACTGTTATATTAGCATATATAACTTTTACAGTCTTGTTTGTTATAGTTTTAAGTATTTTTTTCTCTTTACAAAAATCAGTTATTGTGTGAATTCATTGTACTGTATCAAAAACAACCAGCACTTCAGAGTTTTTTTAATAAGATATAGCCAATGATGTCTAAATGTTTTAGAACCCAAAAGTCTGTATTCTGTTATCTTGAACACTACAACCTTGTCACAAGTCTGTCTGTTTTGAAATACTGAAAGATTTTTTGCACATTCTAGGAAGATTGTGTAACATAGAAAGGTCGATAGTAGTCATTTTGATGGAAAATTGGGGACCATTTGTCAAATTTGTATTGACGTGGATGTATTTAATATTTAGTCTAGATGAATATTCAATTTTAGTATGAAAACAAAATTCAGCACAATTTTTAATGTTTGTTGCTAGTCCCCATATTAATTCAGATTTCCTCCCACAACTACTGGTTTCTGTGGTGTGAGTATATCCTTGTTAATTCAGGTTTCCTACCATAACTACTGGTTTCTGTGGTGTGAGTATATCCTTGTTAATTCAGGTTTCCTACCATAACTACTGGTTTCTGTGGTGTGAGTACATCCTTGTTAATTCAGGTTTCCTACCATAACTACTGGTTTCTGTGGTGTGAGTACATCCTTGTTAATTCAGGTTTCCTACCATAACTACTGGTTTCTGTGGTGTTGAGTATATTGCCTGTTACATTACTAATGATAGAAATTACTTCATTGTCTTCAACTTTTTATCGTGTGCATATTACAGGAAAGACTTAGCTGTTGAGGAGAACTATAAATCCTCAACCTCCGAAACTTAGCCTCTTTCTCATGACTATCTGTAAATATCTATAAACAATTTGAACACCTGGAATGTTTGTACTAATGATATTTGAAATAAAAATAAATGAATCTATTTTTAGTGATGTTTCCAAACCATGAATCATGATAGAATAAATTAAAAACTTCTACAACAAAGTTGGGTTATATAGTTTACCATGAATCATGATGATAGAATAAATTAAAACTTCTACAACAAAGTTGGGTTATATAGTTTATGTTACTTTTGTGATGGCTACACGTAGTCTTTATTTTTAAGATTAGATTATTATGTGTGTGCGTTTTGTTTTTTATTATTATTTAGAACCAGTTAAGATGCTTTAAGAGTTAAATTCCATAAAAATATTTAGCTATATGGGGAAAATATTCAAGTTTCCTTGTTGCCATTTCTGATTGGCATAAATGCAGTGAAATAAAGAATTTTGTCTAATGGTTAAGAGTGTGACTTGTTTTGAAACTTTTACATCCAGTTTACACCTGACCCCAATAGCAGGTCAAGAATTGCATCAGGTGCAAAACAGTTTGAGACAATTGTGTACAAAAAATACTTTATAACATAGCTTTTAAATTATGGTTGCCAATTTGCTGTTATCCATATTCAAAACTATTTAATATAAATTGTACTTATTATTGTATGATTTTAGCAGCTAATTCCTCTGGTAAAAGTTGTATCAATGTATTGATTCAAGTTTTAACAGTTTGGAAGAGATATATAGTTGTTAAATTTTAATACAGGAAAAAAAATTGTTTAATCTAAATGAAAGTTCAAATTTCAATCAAGACAACATGAATAAAAAATATAAAAAGCGGGAACAAGATGTAAAATGCACAGCAAAAACATCATTTGATCAATGGCCAACATTAAAAGACTACAGTTTGTGTTTATATCAGGAGTAAAACCCACTTAGTACGTATGATATTCATAAGAAATTAATATTTATGTCCAAAACTGTGCATTAACATCAGCTAACCGTTCACGACCTGTTATTGACAAATTATTTAATTTACAACACAGAATTTCTATTGATTCTCGAATGTTAAGTTGGGTTTATTAAAAATTATTGCTTCATACCTATATATCGAATGACCTGTTTCGACAGTGTGTTCAGTAAGTGGAGGAATTTACTTATTTTTATGATGTACGTAACCTATATTTTCATTAAGATGATATTTGAAGTTATGTTTAGTTTGGCCGATATATTTTTATTACATTCACACCTCATTTCAAATATTTTTTATTTTTCTTTTGGCACTAGGAAGTATTGTTTTGATTTTATTAATTGGTTTAAAAATAGGAACAACATGATGTTTGCTGGCGATTTGGCTGGTTACATCTTGTAGATCTCTGTATGATAAGATTCACTGTCTGTGTGTCACATAACTCCTCAACCGCTGGTTGCACTGACTTCTAACTGGTACCAGACAAATTTTCTCGATCCGAGGTTTGGACAAAAGTAAAACTTTTTATCCATCCCTTGGGGATTTCCCGAAAATCCCTTCTCCTGAACTCACCAACTTCTAAATGGTGTCAAACGAATCGTCTCGGCGCCTAGGTTTGTATAAAAGTTAAAGTTTTCACTCAACACCTTAAGGAACCCGGGTATTTCGCGAAAACACTTTTATAATTGGGTAGGCGAATACAGGCTTTGGAGCCTCCTCCACAGACATTGCAACAGTTAGAAGC